TGTGCACAACTGCAGTAGACGGTCCTCGTTATCCGTCCCTCGACCAACAAGTCCCCATTGGCCACCCAAACGATTCTCTTCCGTGCCTAGACGCCCAACCTGAGCATTCAAGTCTCCGGCTAGTACTACAATATCTGTCGAACGCACTTTCTGGAGAAAAACAGTGAACTGGTGGAAGAATTCATTCTTGATTGCATCCGGGCTGCAATTTGTCCGGGCATAGACGAAGACGACGAAAAGACATCGTTTCTCACTCCGATTTCTTCTCAATTTGATGGAACTTTCTAATATAACAGCACATAACCGACTGTTAATGGGGATCCAATCGATTAGTGCTGCCTCAGCTCTAGAGCTTAGTGTGACACCAACGCCAGCAAGACCAGACGAAGATACCACAGGGTTCCCGGACAAGCGCACGTAAAACAAGCTTTTTGAAGTGACAGATGGAGAGCGAGTTTGTAGTACTTCATCAGAGTCTTGAATACGAGTCTCGGATAGACAGCAGACATCTATATGAAGACTTTCCAAAGACATAGCCAGCCTTATCTGTTGTCCAACCTGCATAAGTGTGCGAACGTTGAAGGCAGGCAGTTTGAATGGCGCACGTGGTTTCAGAAGAACTGCTTCAGTACTCATATTCAGTGGAAACATGCAATTTTCAACCGGACAGTGACTGGAAAACGTTTAGATACAGTTGAATTTCCACCAAAGACGAGCCACTGTATAAGTATAAAAGAGGGTGAATAATGTGGCAAATGATAATAATCATAATACTACTAATAATAAAAGTAATAGTGATAATCATCATAATAATAGTAATAATAATGGCACTAATAGTAATGATAATAATTTGAATCATTTGGTTGTTTTTCGGAGCGAGAAAAGTAGTTTCCATAGATATAGAGAGTTCATCGTTTGCGTGTTGGCTGTGATACTGCCCGGGTGCCCAAACCGAAGCAGGTGGTTATCTTAGGGGGCCACTCCCCGAGCCTTTAACCCAAAAGTCTAACCCACAAGGCAGTGGAGCATCGTAAGGAGATGCAGTCCCATGGTAGCCGGTGACCAACAATTGGTTCATACGCCATTTGTTCCCTCAGGATACTGGAGCCCATGTACACCAGTGGTTTGGGATCCGGTTAAAGCGCCGGACATTCGCTTTTCGTCCTCTCATTTTCGTAAACAACACCCCCACGACGAGAAGGCAATGAGTAGGACTTCCCTGGCAGAGGCTGTAAACGCGTGTCCGTGTGAGAGTATTTCGAGAGGGAGAGCGGACTCTCCCCACTCTCGGCCGCACCAGGGCATTCGGGGGCTCATCGGTCATGCGCAAGCTCGTTTCTTTTGTTTATTGATCGATGTTGTCTTATACAAAAATAGCACAGAAATCTACAATCTCTAAGAGGATTAAGAGAGAGCTCTGAAGACAGGACGTTAATAGGTTCAACCCGGTAGGTTGTTGAAGATTGTGAACCACCATTTAGTTCCTAGTTCTGGCATATGGAAGTATTGACCCGAGACCGAATGGTTGCAGTCTATACACCTCCTCCACCTTCATTATCGCAGTCTTATACTGTGGTGTTGTGTAGAGAGCAATGTTACATAGCTTATTTACTTACCATTTAATTAGCAGTTGAATATCTCATTAAGTACGTGACTAACATATGTCTATAAATAGCAGACAAACCATCTGTATTTCCACTGAGGCTAGGTTGCCGTCCTATTGGATGCTATATAGCTCGCAAGTTATAGTGGTATTCATGAATATAAAAATCTGTGCAACGTCTTGCTCAGCCCTACCCGTTAGTTTTTGTACCAGTTCGTGATATAAAAGTTAGTTATACATCACTGGTTGCGTGTTATTATTATTATTAATGGCTTTATTCAATATTATATTTTGGTACAATATAGAATTCTCAGCACAGGATATTTCAACAAGTTACTTACTGAACAACGAACAAAAAGGCAGTAGCAAATACAAAAAAAATATTTTAAAAAAACCCAAAAAACTACAAACTTTTAAAATTAAAGACATGTTAAGAATGTAAGTTATTGACTAGGTTAATTCTAACAACCTGTTCGTCACAGAGTATATTTGCTAGGTAAGGTATTATAGAACTTTTATACTTTTCCTTGCGTGCAAGGATTTTAATGTAATTACGTCTCGTTCTACCAGAAGATATACAAGGAGAAAGATAAGAGTGAAGGAGATGGCTAGTATCTGATAAAATAACACCTGCCAGGAGTTTGCATGATTTTAAATGTCTATCCACAACCACATTAATTATGACCTCGAAAGATTCACCACACATCTTGCTAACTGCCTTCAGCACTCTTCGCAATACAGCAAAGTCTTTTCTCAAAAGCCCGGGAAAGAATAATGGAGAACAGTAAAGAATAATAGGTAATATGCAAGAATTGACAAATTGTAAGAGTAAATGACGAGTAATTCCAAGAGCATGCAATCTCTTTATGTAGTAGGTCAGACGGAAAACCTTCTTTGATAACGATAAAACGTGGGAAGACCAAGACAGATCAGAGGAAAAGGTGACACCAAGATAATTGACCTTCGACACTGAGTTTATCAAAGAGTCTCCGATGGTACAAGCACTATGGGATCTCAAAATAGTGTTTATATTCCGTTCATGTCTCATGCTAAAGTTAACAGCTTGACATTTAGACGGATTAAGTATGAGACCATTACCAACAGACCAACAATCAATACGAGACAAAAACTCATTCATTTCTATGGGATGTAAAGAGGAAGATATAGGCATACATACAGTGAGGTCATCCGCATACTTCACAAAAGTGTTTTCTGTGGAAGATGGCAGGTCATGCAGAAAAAAAGAGAATAGAAGAGGTGAAAGAACAGCTCCTTGTGGTACACCTTCCTGAGACAGTAGAGAATCTGAACACTTTCCTCCAAACACAGTGTACTGTTCCCTTTCAGAGAGGTAGGAACATAGCCAGTTGGTTATCCAGCTGTCAGTGTTGACGCTGATTAACTTGTTAAGTAATCGTTGTCTTGGTATAGAGTCAAAAGCTGAAGTATAGTCCAGAAAAGCACATCGAACATACTTCTTACCCTTTTCTAAGTTGAACACTATGTTGTGATGCAGAACTGCAACAGCATCTAAAGTGCTTCTTTTGCGCCTGTATGCAAACTGGTATGGGTCAGTATGCTCTTTTATCGCAGGCTGAAGTGGAAGTATTAATAATTTTTCCATGGTTTTGAGGAAAGGTGAAGTTATTGCAATAGGTCTAAATTTTACATTCTTATCACCAAATGCTTTCTTGGGTACAGGAATTATCTTCATCTTTCTCCACATTTTCGGTATGAGATTAGATGAGAAAGATCTGTTAAATATAGTTGTGAACGGATGACACAGAACGTCAGCACATTTTTTAAAAAGGATGTTTGGGATACCATCAGGTCCCAAACATCGAGATGAATTAAGCGACTGGAGACATCCTCGTACATCAGTTTCAGTGAAAGTAGGAACACAGCTATTATTTAAACCCGTGGATAGAGGGAGCATCACATCAGATGACTGACGTACAAAAGACTTATTTAAGTCCCAAACATTCAGCTGGTTATCGCTTCTAAACTTTCTGTCACCTGTAAGTTCTTTAAAGAATTTCCACATACTTGGAGAGTTTTTGCAAGATAAGAGTTTTTGAGTAAACATGCAGTTGAGACGTCTAATCTCTAGGTTTATCAGACCATTTAGCTTACGAACTTCATTTGAGTTCTTCTCCTTGTACATTCTTTGTTTCATCCTCCGTAGTCGTTTTAGTTGTGAAGATGTAAGTCGATCAAAACTTACAAAAATGGTTTCAGTGGGACAACAAATATCAAAACAGAATTTAAGGTAACAAGTGATAACATCAGTAGTGTTTTCGAGTGAGTCATCTGTAAATAATTCCCAGTTAGTCGTATGAAACATGTTTTTCAGATTTCGGATATTTTCTTCTGAGTAATTCCTATATTTGACTTTCTTGGTTTGATGTAAGAGTGTACTCTTCCCATGCTTTCCATATACTTTAGGTAGAACACGAATTATACAGTGATCTGAGCTAGACAATGGAGCACGTTTACGAGTCGCATATATACCCATATCATTAATGAAGACGAAGTCTAGATTAGCATCCAAACGGGTAGGAAAATCCACTACATTTTGGTGACCTAGTGACGTAAGGAAGCTACAGTCACATGAATTGAAATCACCACATACAACTGAAAGTGAATCACTGAAGGCAGTAACAGCGAACTCAGTGAATTCATCAGCGAAAACAGATAGTGCAGATGATGTGCAATCTGGAGTCACGTAGATATTGGTGACATAAACATATTTGTATTTATTCAGATGTTTTGGACGACATCTTAGAGTTAGACAGTCGATAAAGTCATTTGAAAACTTAAAACACACAAACGAAGATCGACACCAGTTTATGTTTACAAACGTAGCTACACCGCCACTTGACCTCTTTTTATTGTTCGATCGATCCTGACGATAAATTTTGAAATCATGTAGTGATACAAGGCAGTCATCCTGTAAATCATTCAACCAAGATTCTTGAATTGTGATGACACCACAATTACGATACGTATTTTGACTAAGCAGGAATTGCAGATAGTCCACTTTGTTGATTAGTGATCGGCAGTTAGAATTTAGTAGCTCGGGAATCGACATACAATTAATGTTCATTCTCTTTAACACATATTGCCAACCACCACGATGCCTTTTACAGTACTTTTTCGTAACTTGTGCAGCGAAAGGTCGTAGGCTTTTCATAAAAGCTCCTGAATAGGTTATGCGATTAATGGACCTAATTATAAATTAAAACAAATGAAAAACAGATAACTTGTTGAAATAATCAGATGGCAGAAACAGGTAGCCCAGATATTCAAGCGGGCCGCCAAAAAATCCTATAAGTGTTGGATTTAAACCTTATTCTATCAATTGATTTTATGCAGTTTATCTATTTTCTCTTTATAGAAATTCCAGGAATATTACGTAACTTCCGGTTTTTAATACAGTATGGCAACTTGGGATGAGGTGCGAGAACTAGCTAACAAACTCAAAGAAACACAAAATCAACCTAATATTTGTAAACTATCTGATAGAACATGGGTCGATATTATAAAACATTTAATGTCTGTGAATAGATTGAAACTGGTTTTCTCAACTGATGGGCGATCATATTTAACTCGGAACGAGCTCGATAAGGAAATTCGAGATGAAGTTGAAGCACATTCTGGTAGAATTACACTTACAGAACTAGCATCAAATCTTGATGTGGATTTCGATATCATTGAATCAAGAGTCACTGAACTGATAACCTTAGATGCACAGAACAAGTCGCCTTGTCGTTTGATCAGTATACCTAGTGAAGTTGTCAACAGTTCATATGTTCGACGCGTAGCTCATGAAATACTTGATCGACTAGAAGAGCATGGTCAGACTAGTATTGGTGAACTAACTGTCATCTTTAATCTGCCTACAACATTCTTATCGAGTATTATGCAAGAGTATCAAAGTACTTTATTTCATGTACATAAATATGGTGAGAAGTACTTTACAGATACTTTCCTTAATGCTACTAAGGCGAAAATTCGAGGTTATTTTACAGGTGTTATCCGTCCTGTTACTTTAAGTTCAGTTGCTTCAAAGCTTCAAATTCCTGAAAATTTAATTAATAGTATTGTCTCTAGTCTTATCAGTACTGGTCGATTGTATGGTAATCTGATTGCCGGTCGTAGTGGCTTCGTTCCAAAATGTTATACTTATGCTGAGGATACATACATCAATTCATTTTACTCTCAGAATGGATATATTGAATGGAACTATTTAAAGCGATTGAATATTCCTGATCCAGGTTCATATTTAAAGACTAAACTTCCGAATGCTATGCATCTACCAGGTCTTACGGTTAATACATTAATAGTTGATCAGTTAAAATCTCTCATTTCAGGGGTAATCCGCGACGTATCTTGGATAGACTTATCTCATTATATTCCAAATGGATTAGATTCAAGCATTGATGGTGAGAACGGTGATTAAGATCCACTTATGTTTGTGGGACAGAACATTTTGTTTATTTTAGGTGTTTTTCGATTGGGAACAAGACAACTAGTTGGTGGTACCTAGGTTGTTCCTCTAATCTCGCTACTCGGAAGCATGTTTTCAGTTTTACGTTGAATTTTCTATACTACTAAGACGTCCTATAACTCAGACTTTGACATAATGACCTTTTGGCTGCCACCAGATGAAAAAATCAGAACAATGAAGTAAAGGAGCATATACTGAAAGATATAGTTTTTAGCGGTTCCTAACATTTTACTGTCTTTTTATGTATTTGCCATTCTAATAAAAAATCTTCCTTAACCTAACTTCAACTTTTCCTTCATTATTAAAACTCATTCCACCTTGATATACACCACCCTCATTGTTCGTTATTTCTATATCCCCTTGTCCAAAGATTTGTTGAATCTAATTCACTGGAATAATAGCAGCTGGCATGAGTTTTATCTACTAATTTATTCCACTTTTGTCTATTCCACTACAAGCTGTTATGCACTGTCTAGGGTTTTTATACAAGTGCTTTGGTGATTCTTGGTTTTTCCTTTTTTCAGCACCACGTTTGCAGTGCAGAGCCATGGATCTTCTTCTTACGCCTGAAGCGAACCTAGCATACGCATACTTCAGGATCCCAACTTATATCAAGTGTCCTTTAATATCTACTTTGTAACAACCATAAACTTAATAAACAGTTGCATTCTATAAATACTAAACAGAACCATAATTCTTATACACGAATGCCGAGTTTGGATCTGTTGTGCGTTTGCCAAGATCGCGATCTAGATCCGTTGCCGTTTTGGAACAGAGCATAAAAATGGCAAACTTGTGGAGGTGTTGACTCTTAACCACACGATCTTTGAAGCTGAGTATATAATTACTGAGATTTACGTTCAACACATAACACTTATGAGTTAAAAATGGTGGACGCAAGAGCATTTGTTCGCAATGGTATAGCTCAGTCTTGCAGGCGTGGTCATTCTGTGTAAGTAATCCTTAATCACGTCAAATAAGTCATTTTATTTCCAGCCTAAATGTGTCCCTCAGAAATGCTAAACATCATTTTGCTTATTGCCACGAGACGACGAGACGGTTCAAATGGTTCAAATGGTTCAAATGGTTGTGGACGGAATAGAAGAAGCTTTCGCTTAACAGGCTTCCGTGTCTAGTAGCAGGGGATCACCAAATCCTCCAGGCAGGAACCTAGGTATGTTAACAATAAAAGAGGAAAAGAAATTGGTAAATCATAGTGCGATGCTGTCCTTGGTCCTTAAGAATAGGTCAAGTTGCCTCTTGAAGGACTCCTGAGAAGTCGCTTGGACTAGCTCGGCCGGCAGCGAATTCCAGCTTTTGACAACTCTTAAGGAGTAGAAGTTGTGTCTACATTCCGTCTTGCTATGTTGTGTTTCCAGTTTCTGGGTGTTACCCCTTAGGTTATTGTTCGAACTAAGCTTAAGTAGGTGTTTAAGAGGATGTCCAGAAGTGTTAAGAATACTATAAGCCATTAATAAATCACCTCTAAGACGCCTATATTCTAGTGGGTAAAGGTCTAGTGAACGGAGGCGTTCTTCGTAAGGCTTAGATTTGAGTCCTCGAACTGATTTCGTGGCTCGCCGTTGGATACGCTCCAAAGTGACCTTATCCTTTTGGAGTGAGGGGGGAGTACTATGTTTCCGTACTCTAAATGGGGACGGATGAAACTATTGAAGATTGTGTGGAAAGTTCTTCCGTCAAACTGACCAAAAATGCGCCTCAACGTTACCAGTGCAAGGTTTGCTCGGAAGGCATTTTTGTCACAGTTAGCGTAAGACTTTAAGTCATGGGGCACCAGGACTCCTAAATCTTTTTCGACTTGGGATACTACTAGAGAGGAGTTTCCTAAGTTGTAACTGTAGTTTGCGACATGTCGCAGATGGACTACTTTACACTTAGAAGTGTTAAAGGTAAGTCCGTTATCGTCTGCCCAACTATGAAGTCGAGTCAGATCCTCTTGAAGAGCCTGTATATCGTCTTGGTTGCGTATCTCTCTCCAAAGTTTCACGTCGTCGGCAAAAAGTAATAAGTCTGACGTTACCTGTTGAGGAAGATCATTTATGTAAATCAAGAAGAGAAGAGGCCCTAGTACTGAGCCCTGGGGGACCCCACTAGGACATTCCATAGCCTGAGATAAAGTGAAATTAACCCTAACCTTAAAGTGTCGATTTTTTAGGTATGAAGTAAGCCAATCGATTAGAGGTGGTTTGATACCTAGTCGTTTGAGCTTGTTGATAAGACACAAGTGGTTAACCTTATCAAAAGCTTTTGAGAAATCAAGGTAAATGACATCAACCTTTCCCTTGCGATCGAGGATGCTTGTCCATCTGTCCACCGCAGTCAGCAGGTTGGTTATACAAGAGTAACCCTTCCTGAAACCATGCTGTTGGGGTGAGAAGAAATTTAAGGACAGTAGATAGTCATTTAAACCGTCGCATATCAGGGACTCCATGAGTTTTGAAGGTAACGACAGAAGAGCTACCGGCCGGTAACTTGAAGGTTCATTGCGTCGACCACCTTTGAAAATTGGTGTGATGTGAGCCAACTTCCAATTTTCCGGTAGTTTGCCTCGGCTAAGCGAGTGTGAAAACATCACGCTAAGCGGCGTTGCCAGGATTGAGGCTGCCTCCCTCAGTATGGCAGGATGAACCATATCCGGGCCAGGAGAAGTGTCAAGTCTTAAGTGCTGCAATTTCCGGAACACCAAGTCAGCGCTTAGGTCCACTTCAGAAAGTCCTGTGGAATTGCAGATGAAACTGTCGTCAATAAAGTTGATATCAGCCGGTTGAAATGTTTGAGAGTAATGGGCCGCCAGAAGGTTAGCGGCGTCGCCATCGTTGTTGGTCGGGCCGTTAAGACCTAGCAGTTGAGAAACTCCTGTTTTGGCTTGACGAAGAGAGGCTGCATAACGGAATAGGCTTCTAGGGTTAGAGGCGAATTTGTCCATAAGCTTTGTTTGGTACTGAAGCCTGTCTTCTCTTATAGCCTTCGTGCATGTGTTCCTGATATGTTTGTATTGCCTATACGCTCCATCGTTATTAGTTCGTTTGTATTCCGCCCAACAGTGCCGTTTGCGGCTTAGGAGGCGAAGGGTACGGTTCTTGATTACTGTAGGTGGCTTGAAGCTTTTGGGAACCGTTTGAGGAACTGAATGGTTTGTAGCACGTAAGAGCGTGTGCAGCAAGAAGTCCCAATGACCATCCACATCGATTTGAGGGTGAACATCCCAAGCCACCTGTTGTAGATAGTCATGTAGAGCTGGCACATTCAGCCGTTTAAAATTCCAACGCAAATTATTGTTGGGATACCTTAGCTTAGTTTTGATGACAAAACTGAAGGCTATGACGGCATGATCGCTTTTTCCCAGAGGAGCCAGGATTGAGAGGTTGTCGACTAGGAATTCTTCGTTAGTGAATACACAGTCTAAGCGCGATGGTGTCTGACTGTTTCTCCAACGAGTTGCCGACCTCACATTTTCATATAAGCCCAAGTTATCGATGAGGTTGAAGAACCGAGCTTCAGTTGAGTTGTCGCCTCCAGTGTACGTGTGTTCCGCGAAGTTGACTCTAGGGAGATTAAAGTCCCCTAGAATCAGGATGTGTGTGAAACCGAGACGGATAGAGCGGGATAGTCCTTCCAGCATACGACTATCGTACTCGGTGTCGGCAGTTGGCTTCCTGTAAATGACTCCGACTAGACACCTGGAAGTACTAGACAACCTTACAGAGCACCATATGGATTCCTCAAGATTGTTAAACTCGAGGTTGTGAACCTGGTGCACCTCCAAGCAAGAGCTTATGTATATGGCTACTCCGCCCCCAATTCCTATTTTTCTGTCGTTGCGGAACAAAGTCATCCCAGGCAATGCTAACTCTTGATCCGAGAACTGAGAAGATGTCCAGGTTTCAGATATTCCTATCAGATGGGCCTTGTTAGCGTCGCTAAGTTCACGTAGTTCATCCAGTTTGTTTGGTAAACTCGCGGCGTTCGTATATAAGCAGTTTATGCTTTCAATTTGGAACGCATGAGCTTCGTCCTGTTTTTCTGTATGAACCTTATGTGAATGGACAGGTAGCCCACCTATATGAGGTTTGCCGAGGTGGTAGGCCCTGTCCTTTACACGTTTTTTTTATCGTTTAGACAGTCCACAAGTGGAATGGTCAGCTCCAGCTTGCCTTTGTTCTTGGTCCTGACTTCGTATGGCCTATCCGGGTGCATGTGGATTCCAGGTGGCAATCGACGTCTGTTGGCACGAAATGCTTCCAGAACTGCAGCCGCCATGTGAGAAGATGGGAAGGTTATCTTCATCAGACGAGGTCTAGGATCACCGTCCTTCTTGGCTAGTCTCGTCACATGCTGAGTCAGTATGTGTTTGAGCCTCAAGGACTGTTTGATGAATTTCCATTCCCTGATGTCAGAATTTGATTGAGTAGGGTCTGCATTTTCCGGTATACCTTGGACAATTATGTTTCTTCCGCGGAAGAACTTCTCGCGAGATTCTTTAGGGACGTTTCGTATGATATTGCGCTCAGAGTACGGTATGTCGGGCAATATTCTTACGTTACCATCTGATTTCAGTAAGTGACTTGCTAGCAAGACGTCCTCTACGTCGGTAGCATTCTTAAGTGTTACTCGGAGAAGCCTCGGGTGATTTAGATGCTTAGAATCCTTTCCTCGAGTGAGCCGGGTGACCGTCAAAGGCTCTATTCTAGGAAGTTCGAGCTTTTTGTTCAATTCACCCCACAGCATCCTGTCGTTTTTATCCTGCAGACTGAGAGGAAGGTCAGGATTGTCGACGAGGTTCATGATAATGAGAGAATCGTCACGAACTGTTGTTAATTTACCAGGTTTCACGATGGGTTCAGGTTTAATAACTTGTTTTTTGGAGGTCAGTGTGCGTTTATGAATCTTGGGCTCTTTATTGACCGGACGAACAGTCTTGGGGGTAGACT